AAATAACTCAAAATGAGAAAAAAAAATAGTTTATTAAACATAAGCTGTGTTATAGAGAAAATATAAGCGGAGTGCACACATTAACGCAATGAATGCACGTCACCTATGCCACGGTATCAGAGAAATGGCGTCGGCATCGTACGTGATGCCATAGAGAGAAAGAGAGGGTGAGAGAGAGTGGGAAAGAGAGGAAGAGGAAGAGAGAGAGAGCGAGAGAGAGATAGCTGACTATCAAAGTTGACTGTTTTACGCATCTCATCAGTAACAATGTGAGAAGACCAACTGTATTCAACCGAACGCAAGCCATAACCGTAGCATGCGCTTTTTCTCTTCACCTCATGGCATTCTCTTTGAAGGTAATCAACTGTATCAACAACTACGTACCTCTCCCCTGTCACAATTCCAGCCTACCCCACATGGAAACAAGCACGTACTGGCTCATAAGTACTATGTTTTCCCGAACAAAAGCAAATATTGCATAAAAATAATTTCTCAATTTAATCTGAAATAAACTAAAGCAAATGTATGATAAAAATGACAAAGTTTTTGAAGTGTGGTTGATGGATGGAGTTATCGAAGGCGTTTTTGAAGTTATACTTTTTAGCACGTTCTGCCCTACGGAGTAAGCCAACGATTTTAGATTGGTGACCTTGAGAAAAAATGTAACGGAGGTGGATTTTGCTTCGATTTTTTCCGTTAGTCCTACCCCTCTTGACGTACTTCTGGTCTCCAGTACTATACCTCACAACGTTATATAGCTCCACACCACACATTTTAAATTTGGCTTTTATTTTTTCTTTTAACCAATTTCAGTTTTCAAAGAGATTTAAAAACCCGTCCTCTTGCACCTGGGCAAGCCCTTAACCCACTTTTCTATAAGCGGGCCCGACATAGAAACTTCATTTTGTCGTACAGTTCGTAATGTATTTTCAATGTAAATTTACATTTATGGTGGATTTAATAATTTGGTTTTATTTCACAATAAATAAACAAGTTATCTAATAAAATACATTTTTTTTTTTAATAATTTTTAAAAAATTTGAAATGCTTCATTTAAAGAGTAG